AAAAGAATGTATTCTGCTGTCTTAGGATAGAATGTTCTGAATATATCTGTTACATCCCTCTGGTCCCGTGTGTCTTTCAAAGCCACTGTTTCCTTGTTGATTTTCTGTTTGGATGATTTGTCCTTTGATAGAAGTGGGGTTTTAAAGTCCCTTACTATTATTGTAATACTCTCAATTAGTTCCTTTATGTTTGTTACTAACTGTTTTATGAATTTGGGTACTCCATTTTGGGTACATAAATACTTAAAATTGTTACATCTTCTTTTTGGATTGTTCCCTTTATTATCATATTCTGTCCTCCTTTGTCACTTGTTACAGTCTTTGTTTAAATTCTGTTTTGTCCGATATAAATATGACTAGCCCAGCTTTCTTTTGACATCCATTTGCATGATAAATGTTTCTCCATTCCCTCACTTTCGATTTGCATGTCTCTTTAGGTCTGAAATGAGTCTCTTGTAGGCAGCATATAAATGAGTGTTGTTTTTATTATCCATTTTGTCACCCCATGTCTTTTGATTGGAGTGTTTATTCCATTTGCATTCAGAGTAAGTATTGATAGATATGTATTTATTACCATTTTGTTACTTGTTTTGTGGTTGTTTTTGTAGTTCTTTTCTGATCCTTCTCTTGCTCTCTTTCACAGTTTGCTGGCTTTCTTTAGTGATATATTTGGATTCCTTTCTCTTTGTTTTTTGCATATTTAGTAGTGGTTTTTGTTTTGTGGTTACCATTAGGTTTGCATGTAACAGCTCATGCGTATAGTAGTTTATATTAAACTGATAAGTTTGAACCCATTCTGTACTCCCCTCCCCCGTGTTTTAGGTATATGGTGTCATGCTTTATATCCTTTTATTCTGTGAATCTGTTGACATAATTTTACAGATTTGCTTATTTTTACTACTTTTGTGTTTCTTTCTTTCTTTTCTTTTTTTGAAGTGTTTATTTAAATTCCAGTCAGTTGACATATAGTGTAATATTAGTTTCAGGTGTAGAATTTAGTGATTCATCACTTACATACGACACCCAGTGCTCATCACGAGTGCCCTCCTTAATTCCCATCACCCATTTAACCCATCCCCCTGCCCACCTCCTCTCCAGTAACACTCAGTTTGTTCTCTGTAGTTAAGAATCTGTTTTCTGGTTTGACGCTTCCCCCCTCCCACATGTTTGCCTGTTTTGAGTCTTAAATCCCACATATGAGGGAAATCATATGGTATTTGTCTTTCTCTGACTGACTTACTAGCATAATACTCTCTAGCTCCAGCCACATCATTGTAAATGGCAAGATTTCCTTCTTTTTTGTGGCTGAGTAATATTCCTCTGTGTGTGTGTGTGTGTGTGTGTGTGTGTGTGTGTGTGTGTGTGTGT